TGTACCACCTGCCCTCGTACGGGTCGGGAAAAATGCAATCTTTAAGCAGATTATGATGTTTTCAATGAAAATTGCAAACTTCATTCAGTAACATAAACCTAATGTGAATTGTAAATGAAAATATCTCCTGATCTCTATTGCAATGAATGTTTTCCCTATTGTGTTGAATGTAATGATAGCATTTGTGTTAATTGTTAAGATGGCTATCATCTAAATTCAAGATAATTATGTGTTTCTTAATGTGGCGATGGAATCCTTGCTTATGATGAATAATGTGAATTTAACGATACTGATTGCTTCGGTTGTAAGATTCAACAGCCATAAAATTGTAAGAATTTTCACGAAACATGTTTGATTTGTTAATATGGCTATTATTTTGACTATGTAAAGAATGACTGTTACTCTGTTTGCGGGGATAAACTAGTTGCCTCGAATGAAGAGTGTGATGATGGTAATGAATTTTATTATGATGGTTGTAATAAATGTAAATATCAATGCTAATTGGAATGCTTAGATTGCCATTTTGGTAAATGTGTTTTATGCGAAGCTAGTTTGATTTTGAATCAATCAAATAGTTCTTGTGAAGAGTTGAAAGTGTGTCAAATTTAAAAAGGATTATATTATGAAAGTTTTACAAATAATTGTATTTCTATATGTGGAGATGGAATGGTAGCTGGTAAAGAAGAATGCGATGATGGTAATAGCGTGTCTAATGATGGTTGTTATTAATGTAATTATCAATGTGATAATAATTGCAGTAATTGCTAAAAGGGGGTTTGCTATGATTGCATTTTAGGATTCCATTTAAATCAATAGAAATGTTAATCTGTATGTGGAGATGGAATCAAAAATGGAAATGAGGAATGTGATGATTAGAATAATATCCCTAGAGATGGATGTACTTAATGCAAAATAGATCCGAAATATTAATGTTAGGAGGATAACGATAACCTCAGTTTTTGTTATAAATTTTAGGATAATTGTGAATAAGGAGTTTATAATCAGTAAGCACTTTTGCAATGCTAGATCTGTGATAGTGGATATTTTCTCAAAGACAATTCATGTAATTAGTGTTCACAGAAATGTAAATAATGTGAAAATACTCCAAATAATTGTCTATAGTGTGTGACTTAAGATTGTCGAATATGTGATAATTAAGCGGGGTTTTATTAAAATTAGTAGTTAAAATAATGTATCACATAATGTGGAGATAATATCATTGCAGGGATTGAATAATGTGATGATGGCAATAATATAGATATGGATGGGTGTAACTCAAAATGCCAAATTGAAAAAGATTTCCTTTGTAAATAAGGTGTTTGCATAGGACCACAAAAAAAGCGAATTGACTGTGCTTATAAGAATTCTACTACTTCAAACGACATTGATTTAATTTTTGAAGAATTAGAATTCGAAGGAGTATGTGAGAAATTGAATATAACTATTGACGAATTTTAGTCAATTGAATTTAATTATTCAGTTTTTAAAAAATCAGAAATATAAAAAAATAAGGCAGGATGTGAGATTAGGTTTGAATTTTTCAAAACTATTTTACAATCTAACCTCATTCATTTATATGTTCCTGTATTTGAAGTATCAAATAGAATCCTTGTCGAAGAGATAAGAGAATTTGTGATAATTCCCAGGAAAAAAGATTATTATAATTCATAATAATAAAGCTAAGCGAAAATGGTAGTTTCAGCATCAACTAAGTTTACATTTTTACTTCAACTTATTGGGCCTTTAACAATAATTTTAGGAGGATTTAACTTCTTCTGGACTATTTTAGATATTTTGACATGGATTAATAATTTCTATTTTCTAAATGTAGATTATCCTTTGAATGTCAAGATGTTTTTTAATTAATTAAAATGGGGTGATCTCTTCAATCTCCCAGATTTCATATCATTAAATTAACCAGATGATGCATATTATTTTGAAGCTTCCCCTAAATTTATAGAGAAAGAAGTCAATCCTTTATTTTTAAATAATATTGAATTATTTATTGCTATGATTTTATTTTTGTTTATGATGGAATTTTTATGAAGATTGTATATTTGTG